CGGCCGCGAGCTCACTTTTGTGATACTTCAAAATAGAACCCCCCCCCCCCCCCTTTTCTAAAAAAATATAAAGTTTTATTTTTGGAACAAGACAGAGTAATTTTTGCTCCACGAAACGCCAGAACGTTAATATTTCAAATCGTCTCCGCCTCGAGTAAAAGAGACTTTATCCCACGCGGATTACCCACGTTCGTGCATATCTGATTTAAAAGTTCATTTGGTGCTCTCAATTTAATAGTTCGGACTTCTAGCATGGAATTATTAGCCAGTTCACGTTCTGAGTGCAGTCTCATATCTGCTAACTGTCTGATGTAATAACCTCTCTCAAAAAACTTCGCCTCTCAGAAAACGCTAGTGTCTTACACAACGGTTGAGGTTTTATTCAATTTATATATGTTTTTAATAGAGCATCAGGATACTCACTCAGTCCCTCAAAGCTAGAGGTAACGCAAAAGTTAAAATAGAGTTCAGAAAAATCGCAAACGCCCTTTCCTAGGTAATAACTAGGTTTGTTTTGACTTGATCCACGATATTCCGCATTGCAAGATTTATTCTAGGATATTTTACGACACTGTGAGCAAAATCTCAACAAAATTGAACGGGAACTGTGTTTCAGTTCTCCTTTATTAAACCGAAACTGTTTTTTAATTTTCTAGTTTAGGAACGGTTTATCAGTTCAGTTTTCTATGAAGGAGAACTATAGTTCTTTTTAAACGAAGAAACTACTTGATGACCAAAGCTTCACTTCGGATAATTACCACCCATCTATACTTTTTGATACGTTTTCTTAATGAAATACATAATATACTAACGACTAGCTAAGAACAAGATCAGCAACAGTTCCTCCGTTCGTGGGAACTGTTAGACTTTGAAATATTTTCGTTGAGATTTTTCTCACAGTATGGTAAAATATCCTAGAATTAATTTTTACATGTGGAATATAGTAGATGGTGCATGTAACTACATTGTTTGCCTGTAAACTCAAAAATAGAAAGAATCCATTAAGGATTTTCAGAAAATTATAATTTCTTGGAAATATCACCGACGGACAGTTACATCAAACCATTACTAACAAATAGCAAGCATTAACGTTAACTGATTCTTCCTAGATAAACTCAAATTGGTATAAACTTTCTTGCCACTCACTTTTTTAACATTATCAGTACAACTAGAGATGTGCACTGGTATCGTTTTCGTATCCGTACCTGACCCCAAAATTTTTTTTCACTCGTATCCGACCCAAAACAATATTTTCTGCCCGTACCCGACTTCTGCCTAAAAATTTGTCTTTTTCGTTTTCCAGCTAAAACTTTTGTTTTTCGACTGAAGATTACAAATTATCATTACGTTCTCAAGTAACTGTTTTTTAAAAACTTCATATATTTTAGCCAAAATCTTGTATTTTTCACTAAAATTTTGTGATTTCCAACAATTTTCCAGTTTTAGGGGAAATAAAAAGAAAACGGAACTTGTATCCGTAACTGCTCTACCCGTATCTGATAAATTCTTAATCGTATTCAACCTTCGGGTCGGGTTGTACATTTCTAGCTATAACTCAATAGAACAATTAAATTTTTTTAAATGTATTCTACATTTAAAAGCAAATTGTCTGAATTAAGAATTGAATTTATAGTGAAATAAGTCAATTTTTGTTGTGTTTTGACTGTGACATGTATGATAAGGCAATTTGAGTATAGGTAGATAGAAGAGCTTTTGTCTCTCTTTTTTCGTCAATAATCATTGTTCATTATTGCATGTGTGAGAGAAATAAATATTTAATGAAATACTTGAACAGTATATATATTCATATTGAATTCTCTTTGTTCCATCTCTCTCTCTCTCTGACACTCGCGCTCTTTCTCACTATCGTCTTTTTATATAATGCAATAATCTGTGAGCACTTAACGAAATAAAATAAGGGAGTTAACTATTCGCTCTGCCACGAAATAGAATTGTGGATCATTCTTTTCTCTCATTCTCGTGTTAACAAGATCATTTTCCAGTTAGTTAAATCACCATACTATGCGCATGAATAAACAATTTGAATGAAATTCAATGGGGGGAGTAATACAACAAAATTTCTATCCTATTTTCAGAGAAGAAAAAAAAAAGAAAGAAGAAGAACAGATAACAATTACTTTCATCTAAACATATTTCAAATCAGATACCGTATAAACACAATGTTTTAAATGCTTTTTCTATTTAAATATCCAAGTGATATTTCAGAAAATTAGCTAGAAAAACTATTTTACTATCAAAATGTAACTGTTATCAGAAAACAAATTTGATTTTATCTATCGTTTTTCCATTTGTCCATTTCTTTTTTTTTCATCTCACACTGTCATCAAAAAGAACATTTGTAATAAATAATAGCATTAGGGTCTATATCATTGAGATTTAATAATATATCTTCAGTTGAAAAGATTTATTTAATCAAGTACTAAATGTATTTCCGTATTTCTTTGTGTAATTGAAATTCTCATTTACATTGTCCCGTTCTCCCGCCTGTATAGTTATTTCTTCTACATCATGCATTTTTTTTTTCTCTCTTAAAAAAAAAAAAGATTTATTTATAATAAATGACTTTTCGTCGTATACACACTCACACTTGAAAAAAACTCTCTTCACCTCTATATTTCTCTTTTTTCACCTCATCATTAAACAATTTGTAATAAGAAATTAGTTGAAAAAGAAGATTGAGCTTATTTCGTTCTTCTTTTCTACTAGCAAAAAAAAAACAAAACATAACAATAACTCCACCTTAATGATACGTTTCAATATGCGATAAAATATGCGGTTTACTTCTTACCTGTGGCTGGATCAACCTGTAAACCCATTCCCATATGAGCTGGTGGAGGTGTCATAAACTTGGATAAGGATCCCCCTAGTCCAGGTGGTAGTGGAGGCATTTTATCCTAAAATAAAAGAAAAAAATGAGTTTTTAATTTGGAAAAAAAAATGTGTTCAGTTGTTTGATTCACTCCGTAGACATCTGAATGTTTCTTAACAATAATTTGATTTTTTTTTTCGCCATAAATCTCTTCGTTTTCAAAATGTTCAACAAAAGAACGATCACTCAAATTTTTTATTCATTAAAACTTTCTAATTATAAACCATTTGATTTTTACAAATACTTCAGTAGTGTTTCAATTAACAATTAGTTAGAAAATATCAAAATTAATGATTTTTCTCTAATGACATTTTTATTTAAGAATAATAAATTCATACATATTGAACAATTTATCATTGAACTTGAATAGATGTTCAAGAAAAAAATTATTGTACAACAAGACATAATCTATCATTCTAAACATTTATTGATTTCATTTATTGATACAAATGGATGTTTTATATAGTGTATGTGTGAAAATGAAGTTTGACACACATAAAGTGAACGCTAAATCGATTTTCAGTAATCGTCTAGAATCCACGGCGTAGATGTGTAAAGTATACACTTAGAAGTGACCATCTGCCTCTACACACTGAGATAAACGCTATAAGCTACTTGTCTAAACTATTTGTGCTCGAAAATATCTCAGATTTATCAATCGATTGTTCAAATTTACCATAGGACGCTGTTTTTTTTTCTCATCTTTTATTGCTGAAATATACTTTCGAAGATGGTGATTATAATTCATTTGATGCATTAGTTCGGAAGATAAAATGGAAAATAAATTTTTTTTTTGCTACACCTAGCTCTTTACACACCGAGATTGATTACTTGGGATACACACTTTTCGATGTCGAGTGAACGTTTACACACCTATTAGTGCACTTTATTTATCTCTAGAAAAATAGTGTATTTAATTAAACAAGCTTTTGCATTAAAATCCAACAAAATTTTTTCCAAAAGACTTATATATTGAAAAAATCCAATAGAATTTGAAACTCTCAGTTCTCTTTTTCAAGTCATTTTGAACTAGAGAGTGTCCAAAAATCCAAATATTATTTTATTAAATAATTCTATAGAAAAAATAATCTTTTTTCTTTATGTTTTTTCTCTTAATGCTTTAGCCATAAGTTTAAAATATAATTAATAAGTTAATGACTTATTATAGATCTATGCGTGCGTACATATATCGTCATTAAAACTATTCACTCAATTAAATACCCGGTTATTTACTTTTCAGTTAACAAAAAAAAAAAAAAAAAATTTATGTTTTCAATAAAACATGAAGATGTGAGTATGATGGTATAAACATACATTGTTCAGATTGATGATAAAATCATATTTATACTATTTATTTTAAGCTCAATTCTTTTAAATAGTTTTTGATAAGATAGACTGTCATAAAGTCAAAAATAATAAATTAACATTCGTTTTTGACATTTTTCTAGTGTTTATTGTCAATAACTACTACTACTACTACTACTAGAAATATTGACATTAAGAGAGCTTGTTGTTTCTTTTTATTTTTCGAACTATCCTTAAGTTCATTGTGTTCAACGCCTTGTCATAACATTTATTGTGTATTGAAATACACAGAGAGTCTATATTGCGATAACAATTCACTTTATCGTCTGAGAAAACAGAGATTGATGTTTTTTAGTGTAGTTCATTCGTCTCGATATCAGGTTAATTAGCTCAATGTTCATCCATAGGTATATCTCAATATATCAGAACAAAAAAAAAAAAAAAACGTATGTGTCCGGTTGTCTTGTTACAGTGACAAATTAGTTTGTATAATCCATAACATATCGTTTTGAGATGTTTCTGTTTTTTTTTCTTTCTCTCTCTCTCTCTCCTTTTTTTTCTTTTCTTCTTCTTCTTCTCTATTTAATTATATAGAGATTGTTAAATGATTTCATGTACAAGAGAGAAGATAGAAATATTATAATTAAAAACACAGTTGTTCGATCAATGTATGAAGTGATCTTTGAACAATAATATCTTAATGAGATAGAGATTTATATTTTAAAACAGTTTAGGTCAAGAGTATTTACTTTAAAAGTTTCAAATATAACACAAATACACACGCATGTAGACCAAAGGCGTCCACTTGCCACAAAAAATTTATTCATTAATTAAGTAAAATAAATGTGTATTTAACATTCTAAATAAAATTTGTAACGGTTGAATAGTCTTTTGCACACAATAAAATATAAAAATGATGTCATGAAATATTGAAGAAAAATAACAACTTAAAAGTACAGAAAAACTATGTTATCAATTATTTCATATTCTAATTCAATTGTTATCTATTCTACTTTTATTATAGATCTAATTGATAGTACTTATTGAATTTAAATTTATTTATAAAAAGATTTTAACTTTTGTCTATAATATGTCTGTTTTTAAATCTACAAAGTTAACTTTTTTTTTATCAAATTGTTTTGATTCTTTTACTCTCCATCTGTCCAAATTTACTTTTTCTTTATACACACGCACATCAATTTTACATCTTAAAATCAATCAATGTCTCTCGTTTTACCATCGACCTGATAATCATTTTACACATCTGCTTGTTCGTTAAAATTTGAAAAACAAAAAGATTATTTAGCATCAGATTATTGATGCACATCGTCATAATGTTCGACACTCACATGCAACAATCTCATCATCCTATTCATTTCATTTCATAATCTTTCCGTAAAATTACTTCTTGATTTTTTCTGTTTTTTTTTCTTCTTTTCAGTTTTACACCTGTTTTATTTCAACAGTTATTTTTTTATTCACATCCTTCTATTCATAAATAAATCGAATGATTTTGTTATGGATCAAATGAAGATATCTCATATAAAATGAACTGAATATATTTTTTTATTAATTTCATTGTTTTAGTTCAATTTTTTCAACTATTAATTCAAAATTATTTTTATTTCTTTCTTTCTTTTTTTTTTTTGCTTCTTCTTCTTCTGCTTCTCTCTATAAATCGATCAATCACATTTGATGTGTCTCGATTATGACAAGTCAAAAAACGAGTGTCTTTCTTTTTTATTCTTCTCTCTCTCTCTCTCGCTTACTCTCTTTTTCTCTCTTCACACTTTACATTTCAATCTTACGATTGGATATGTCAACAAAACAAAACTTACAAATGGTGGTGTTCCATTATAAAGACTCCCATTATAATAAGGTGACATTAAATATGGAAATAAATGAAATTGATGATCACTGTTCAAACGATCTACAATAAAAACAAAAGAAATGACACAATAAATTGAATAAAATTTTTATAAATATACCAGCTAAATTTGTCTGATTGGATTGTTGAGATGGAGACGACTAAAACAATGGAAAATTTAAAAATATTGAATTTGATTTTATAATGCGGAGATTGTATGTGTGCCAAGGTATCTATTCTATTTTTATTAATAGAAAATAATTTGATCTATTTGATCCTATTCAATTATACATTTGTTTTTCAATTTTAGTAATATATGGTGTTTTTATTTTATTTATTCAAACTGTGCTACTAATTTCATCGTAGAAAAAAAGTATGTGATTTAGATCAAATGACAAAGTCATTTATATTTCACAATATTTTGTCTCGAAAATGATGATCTTTAACTAACAATAACACACCATCAATTGTAAAAAATTGATAAAAGAATCTTACCTCTTCTTCTTTGATAACCGGTGATAATCGATCACTACCTCCATCTCCATCTACATCAACATCTTCTTCATGTTTTTCACAATCAAATACTTTAACTTCATCACTATCGGCTTCATCATGTGACGATTTTGGTGATGGTGTATGATGACTGGACGATGGTGTAGGAGTAATTGTTGTTCGTGATGAAGTTGTCGTAGCAGCTGACATTCGCCTTTCGTTCGTTGGCGATAATTTTTCAGGTGTTAATGTTTTATTATTATTATTATTATTCACTGATGTTGTTGTCGATGATATTCTTCGTTTAACAATGGATGCCGACGGTGTAATAACACATTTTTTGTTATTATTTGTTTTTGTTGATAAATCAATCGTTTTTGAACTCGGCTAAAGAACAAACGTAGATGGATATTTCAAAATGAACAACAAAGACATACCGCGCACAAGCGCTTAGCAAAAAAAAGAGACTTTCTTTTTTTTTTTTATTTTATTTTTTACTTTTGTGTGTGTGTATGTTAAAAGAGAGAAGAAAGAAGAGAAAGAAAAAAATGACGATCTCTCTATTATTAGCGGAGAATAGAGGAAAATCCTTTTTATAGTTGGTTGAAATAAATTATTACATTATATTCATCGGAAAATCATAGAGAAGAGAAGAGAAGAAGAAAAACGTTAGATTTTAATTCGAAAAAGATACTTACCATATCTATGATTATATTTGTTGGCATAGTGGAGATGTAACAAATTTTTTAATAATACGATAAGTTAATAATTAACACCATAATTAAAGATCTAAATATAAAAATTAAAAATTTTTTATATAACTATCTCTTTGAGGTGAGCGTAAAGCTTTGATTTTTAATAAGTAATTTAATCAAAACTTTTCTTAAGAAAAAATAATAGAGCCTCGATTCTGATCTGAACATAAAGTGGTAAGAGAGAGTAACAGAATGATAATTGAATCATTAGAATTTTAATATATTCAGATTTTTGATAGTTATTCTTTGTTTGAGACTGTGCAAATTTTAAAATGATTGTTCCAAGCTTCAACAGAAAAATCTAGTATCGCCCGATTCATCTGTTTTTTTACTCGATTGTAACTATTGGATAACAACAGTGGAAATCTATTAATCGGACGATTGCCAGATTTCTTCTAGTTGCAACCAGACCTGTCGATCGGAATATCGGCAGTGGCGTATAACAAAAGTGTTCCGATCAGTGGCAGCGGCAGAGCCTCATTAAAAGCTTTTCTACCTTCGGCGGCAGCGACTAAGAAAAAACGTTCGATCATCGGAGGCTAAAAGATTATTTAAAACTGTAGATCGTCAGCGGAGGGGCGCAACCAAATTTAAATACGGAACTTAGTTCAGGCCAAGATCCATTATCAATTTTATCAATTTTTTATTTTATTTTCAATCAAAATAATGAGGCTAAAACAAGTTTGTACGGCGAGGACCTCGAAAAAACTTCGGTAGTGGCGCCGAAAATCAAAAAAAATTATCGATCAGCGGCGGCGAGGAACTCGATAAAAGTTCGACGGCGGAGGGGGCGAAAATCTTAGTTATCCATCGGTGGCACCGACGCGGCGCTCAGATCTAGTTGCAACTATTGATTTATCGTCCAATAATCGATCTATTTAACTATTGCTAGTTACACACGTAGATACATCTAGTTAAAAGTCCCTTTTTCAACTAGTAATCCAGATGACAACTAGTCGTGTATCACCGAATTATAGACGAAATGTATCTAGATTTTTTCCATAGATGATGTTTGCTTGGGAACTGATATTACTTTCATTGAATAAATATTTTAGTGGACGATTTTTCAATCCAAATTTATCAAACGATCTCTTTGATCATCAGCTCTAAACCAAAATTGAGTGGTCAATTACAGGAAACTCCCAAGCAAACATCCCCTATGAGAAAAATCTACATACATTTGGTCTGTAATCTGGCAATACACGACTAGTTGCCAACTAGCAATCTAATTGAAAAGGGACTTTTAACTAGATGTGTCTGCATGTGTAACTAGCAATAGTTAAATCGATCGATTATCAGACGATAAATCAATACTTGCAACTAGAAGAAATAATCTAGATGAATCGGGTGATACTAGACTTTTTTTTTTCGACGCTTGGACTATTATGAGTGAAATACTAACGAATCTCTCTAACAATTTTTCAAATCATCGTCAGTAAATTTGTCGCTAACAATATAAATAATAATTAGAACAAAAACTTATGTTTGGATTCTCTTATTATTTCTGACTTAATTTTACAGCTTTCAGTTGTTTCACTAAATTGATGTATAAATGGTATTTCGAAAGTCATGGATATATCACATAGGACTCTTTTTTATCAGAAAATATGTTCAATTAGATCTGTAACATTTAACTATTACAGATATTTTAAATAAAGTACGAAACTATACTATTTCTATATGTTTTGAGTCAGTAGAAGATCAGTATGGGATAGTTCAACCTCTGTTTTTCCGTTATATTCATCTTCTTTCATAATTGGAAAAATATCTAATCTTTTATTATTCAACTAAATCGTAAATCTTGTTTTCTAGTCTATTATGTATTCTATTATTTACATTAAGTATGTGTATATATGTGTGTGTATGTGTGTGATGAATATAGGTGTTGACTAGTTGTTGAATACACATATTGAAGGTCAATAATATTTAACGAAATGATGAACGAACTCCCAAAATCAATTTCAACATACTAAAGAGAATCAAAAAAAAAAAAGAGAGGAAAAAAGCAAGAAAGAAGAGAAAACATCATCTCATAATCGAAACCAAACGAAGCAAACGAAAGAAATGACACTCAACATACAAAGAGAAGATTTGTTGAACGTGTAACTATACATTGAACCTATATAAAATTGTACAAACGGAACATACTTCTGCAATAATAACATGTTAAAAAATAAAAAAACAGTAGGAGGATATTGTTGAACACTTAAAACAATGAATGGTTAGTCTCATATAACAACTCATCTAACTTGTGGTGTCTGCTTTGTTATAGAGTAAATAATTTCAAACATCACACTTTGAATGTATTGCTAATATCCATTGTGAAATGTACGTTAGTATTTAGAAAAGAATTTGATGGTATTGCAGAGACGTCTCAGTGGAGGTTATTTCTATAGATTTGTCGGTGTACCCGTTTAGTTTCATCAATTTGAAATCTGCAATTTATACTAAAAAAACGTTTGATGTAGTATATCTACAGATGGAATATGCACATACAATACAAAGCTTGCTACAAGAGTCGGATAACTAAAACATTACTAATTATCATTCTAATCAAATTAAAAACATTATTTTAGAGATATATTTTACTGTTTGTTATACGACTCCATATTGCTAATGATACAGGTATAATTTTTAACTGGAAATTGCTTTTGAGATTCTAAAAGAAGTGAGATGCTTCTTTTAGAATAATAATTAGGAGAGAGTGGACGGACCGTGTTCAGTGACGGACCTAGCACCATGGCGGTTCGGCGACCGCCGCCCCCTCGCAAATGTAATTCTAATACGAGTACACTACCCGACTTCCTTAGAAAGAATATTCATACTACTTCGGACGACAGCGTTTAGAAATCGCCACCCCGTCGGTAGAATCTTGGATCCGCTCCTGATCGTGTTCATCTGCATCCAATAAAGTTAAAATACAAAATTCTTAGTGTATCGTCTCATTGGAATAGAGCTTGACCGACAGTTTCTTAAACTTTAACTCTCATCTCTCCAGTTCAATGGCACTGAAATCGGATTATCCCATTGCATCTGTATTCAAAGGTACCGACGCAATGAGCATTAGATAGCTTGTCCAAGACTCACAGGCAGTTTTCTTTGTTAATACGAAAAACAATGAGTTCTTGTATAGTTTGATTCTGCTAACAGATTAACTAAATATGAGATTAGTCCAAAAATGGGAAAAAAACAAAAACAAAAGCTTTTAAACTTACGAAATTTGAACAATTTATTATAGCGATTAAAATAATAATAGTAAATGTTTTTGCGCGTGTTATCGGCTTCTATTATAACTTTGATTATTAAAAGAAGAAATAAGTTTGAGACTTGAAAAGTAGGAGGGATACATAGAACACAAGGGCGGCGTGGTACAAGCGGCCTCACTTTGAACGACCTTCGAACGCAATTGTTCAATCGAAATGTACAAAAACAGCGGCCGCCCATCAAACTGACCATTTTCTCTCTCTTTCTCTCTCTCTCTCTTTGTCTAGTATAGATAGGTGACCTTCGAAAGAGGAAAAATGTTTTCATTCGTTCTCTTTCCTCTTGAACAAGGAAACACACACCCTCTAGAAGAGAGAAAACAAGCACATTGTTTGTGCTGTGTGTTGATATTGAACACAGTCGAATATGTTCAGTGAGACTAAAAAGACTTTTTGTTCTCTTTTGGCCAACCTTTGGTACACCGTCGAGTGATGGAAAATGTTTTTTTCTCTTCTTTTTTTTTTCTACATAAACGAATATACATAGTTATACATAACTACTGTCAAAATAACGATGAAAAATGGGTACATTTCAAATAGTTTTCATCATGTTTGAATTATTCTTGGTATATGTACGTAATAGTTCAAGTAGATGGAAAAATAACGTTTTATTAGGTAATTCTTTAACAAGTAGCACTGATTTCATTGCGGCAGTCTACTCCACGTTTGAATTAGGCATTACATATTTAAGTGAATTTGTATAGTCGATGCACCATTGAGAAAAAAATTTACAAACTAGTGGCAGATTGAAAAAATTTGATTCGCATATTAGATAGAGTTATGTCGATTGTCTATAAAAGTAATCTTTTCGCTACACTTTGGGATATGGATGCTGAAAACAAAAATCTCTTTGATAGAAATGATGGACATTTTTTTTTTGTTCTTCAGATATTTTGGTTCTAAAAATCACACTGACAAACCAAAAACAAACATACTGTATACCGTTCGATAGAACTCGATGAGCTGACTTGAACAGCATTCCTTTTCATCTTTTACAATTATTTGTATTAGTTAGAATGGGAATAAACTTTAGCTCATTACTCATTACTTACGACCTTGATGAAGGTATGGTGTTCCACGGGTTATATGTTTTAAAGTTATAGGTCAAACAAATTTTATAATTTCGTCAGACATTTTGTGTTCTAATAAAAGTTTAGATCGTCTTTTATTTAAATGAAAACGTTGAGAAAAACTTTTTTGTATCGATTTTTTAAACGTTTTTCGTACTGTTTTTTCTGTGTATTGAAAAATTTGTCATCCCAAATGCTGGATATGATAAGTGAGTTAAAATAGTGCCGAATAAAATTTACAAAATGTCTGTATAGCTGGTTCTTTGATGAAATTATAGACGAAACTTAATTTTATCGGAATTCACAACACATAGTCTGTTAGCTGTTCTTTATCACTGAGATTGAAAACATTTCAGAAAAGATCACAGAAACAAGAACTTGATAACGAAGAGCGCAAACTTATCAACATTCGATGATTGTTGTTTTCTCTCATGAACTTCGAGGATCCAGCTATGATTCAACGACAAATGCATACTCATGGCTAAGATTTTTGACAAAAATTGTTCCAATACTTTTTCCAGAAGAGACTTTGTTCTAATAAATTCTCGTAATGGAAACAAAGTCTGACAAAATTTTATTTTCACGTGAACATTTCTGATTAACAATATCAAAC